AGTGCCCGCCGGAAGTGAGGTAAAGTTTTTATATACTCGTATAAATACCTTACTATATTTATACATAAAAACTCTACCCCACTTCCTGAAATTGTCGAATTAGTGCTAAAGCTGTGAACATTTTAGAATAAGTAACGTAAGAATATATAAAAATTTGTCCCCAACATGATCTAAAAATAAAACTCCTTTTCTTTTGATACAACTGTAATAAAATTTTCTTATATAATATCTGCAAAGTACTTGTTCAAATAGTGATTTAGTGTAAATTTAACGACTTTTTATCTAATGATTTCTTAAATTTACGCGAACACTACACATTGAATAAAACTATTATTTACGGATTTTATCGCGTTTAATTACTTTAATTTATTTTTATTATTATCCCGACGTTTCGGGTGCTTTATCTAGTCAATGACAATGTTACATTTTTCAAAACATAATACGTGAAGTATATTTTTATTAAATTATTTTCTTTTGGCTCAATAATTATGCTTCAATAGATTTATAGAGGTTCAAAAAAACGTACAGCAACGTTAACGTAATTGAAAGGGTTGCTAATTATGACCTAACGATATAATGTTAGATGTTGCAATTAGTTTTTAGCTGTTATAATTAGGTTCATGAAATAAAATTTAAATGACATTAGGAAAGTGTAGAAAATTGTGGAAAACATCATTCCTATTTTTTATCAACTTTATTATAATAGATTTCAGCAAAGTAACGCCTGGTTCTATTAATTATCTTAAAAAGCTTGCACAACCGACCAGAGAAGACTATAAATACAACGAAGCATAAAATTACTAGCCTATAGTATATTACAATGAAACGTGTTCGTTTTAAATTGTAGGATAAGACTGTAAGTTTAGAATTTTTCATGAATTTGAAAATATTTTTAGAGATATATGTGCTGCTACCGCAACCACACTTTTGAACAATTATATAAACTTTTACAATTGATGTTGTGGTTAAGAATTTTTTGATCGAATAGGCCACGTATAGGCTAAAAGATGATGTAACGACTTATTTATGCTTTCTTGCTACTTATTCTGTTGTATATACTACAAAATTCAAAAATCTCTATTAGCAAAATAAATACTGCAATACAAACATACAAGACACAATATATTTTTTATCGTTAACCCATTCTGCAGACGCCGACATATAATATATTCGCAGAAATGGAGCTTGACTCTATAATACATTATATCTTTGTAAAGAAGTGAGCTATATTATTACACATAAAAGATTAAAACTACGTTCCTTAGGAAATACGACATTACTATGTAACTTGAGACAATTTAAATCGCCATCGTAGATAAAATTTTCAAAATTCCAATATTACGTAAAAGTGTCTAACTTGAATTTAATTTAAAATACATTTTAATTAGTGCAAAGACTAACGTTGCAACAACAAAGCCACTATTTATTGCACGCCTTAAGCTTTGTAGAGCGGTTTTACTCTCAATATTGCTTCGCAGAGTACTCGACAATTATTCTGTTGACCTTGCAATATTAGTCTATGCCTTTGTAGATTCAAAGGTAGCTCTGTACTGGATAAACAGCTTGCCACATAAGTGGCAGACCTTTGTTGTAAGCCGCTTTGTTCAGATTACCAACAATATTCTCGCTGATAACTTTTATCATGTCGCAGGCACCGAGAATCTCACTGACATACTTTCACGTAGTGTTACGTCAAACAAATTAGTTTTAAACCCTCTGTGACTCCATGGGCCTCAGTGTACCTCATTAGATCCATTTCAGTGGCCTCTTCGTACTTTAGACTATGAGGTTATTGCAGAAATGCCTGAGAAAAGGATTTTGTCGTACACTGTGTGCACATAATGAATGTTTAAATATTGTAGATGACAGACCTTGCTGACCCGCTTTCAATCGTTTAAGGCCTTATATTGAGAGCGGTTAGATTTGTCTTTCAAATTCCGCATTAGATTACACCAAAAATATCCAATTATACTCCCGCGCTATGATCATGTAGTGAACATCATCATTGACTGTAATTAATTTAAAAATTTAAACGCTTGGCCTGAGTTGTTATTGTCATTGCTCCATCAAAAATTTTGGATCCTTTCCGTGCAAGCAAGAGTGTGCTGAGAGTCGTATAAAATGGAAGTTCATCTTTCCCAACTCTCCTCACTTTGGAGGCGCCTGGGATAGTATGAAATATATATATATATATATATATATATATATATATATATATATATATATATATATATATATATATAGTCGTGAAAACTCATCTGATCTGAGTTAACGGACGTCAGTTACTTTCATCATCATCATCATCATCATCACAGCCCTTCACAAGTCCACTGCTGAACATAGGCCTCCCCCCAAGTAATGCCACAAAGCACGGTCCTGAGCCACCTGCATCCATCGACTTCCTGCATATCTTACCAGGTCGTCACTCCATCTAGTGGGGGGTCGCCCTACACTACGCCTACCTGTACGAGGCTGCCACTCGAGAACCTTTCTTCCCCATCGGTTATCGGTTCTTCGAGCTATATGGCCGGCCCATTGCCACTTCAGCTTACTAATCCGTTGGGCTATGTCGGTCAATCTGGTTTTACTGCGGATATCCTCATTTCTGAGTCTATCACGCAGAGAAACTCCGAGCATAGCCCTCTCCATAGCTCGCTGAGCGACCTTGAGCGTCCTCATACGGCCAGCAGTGAAGGACCACGTCTCTGATCCGTAAGTCATCACTGGCAACACGCACTGGTTGTACACTTTAGTTTTCAGAGATTGAGGTATACCTGACGAGAAGATATGTCGTAATTTCCCGAACGCTGCCCAGCCGAGTTGAATCCGTCGATTGACCTCTCGGTCGAAGTTGGACTTACCTAGTCGGACTATTTGTCCCAGGTAAACGTACTCGTCAACAACTTCGAGCATAGTGCTCCCAACAACTACCGGCATAGGTGTGACATGGACATTAAACATAATCTTTGTTTTGTCCATGTTCATCTTAAGACCTATCCGTTGGGAGGCACTATTGAGGTCATTGAGCATAGTGCTTAAGTCCTCCAGCGATTCTGCCATAAGGACTATATCGTCGGCAAATCGAAGGTGAGTGATGTACTCGCCATTGATGTTAATACCGTATCCTTTCCAGTCCAGTAGCTTGAAAACGTCTTCCAAAGCAGCGGTGAAGAGTTTCGGGGATATAACGTCACCCTGTCTTACACCTCTCTGCAGTTGGATAGGTTTCGAGCTCTGGTTCTGTACTCGGATAGCCATCGTAGCCCTACTGTACAAACACTTCAGCACTTCAATATACCGACAGTCAACTTGGCACCGCTGAAGGGACTGCAGCACCGCCCAAATTTCGACGGAATCAAAGGCTTTCTCATAGTCCACATACGCCAGGCAAAGTGGCAAATTGTACTCTTCAGTCTTCTGTACAATCTGCCGCAGGGTATGTATGTGGTCTATGGTACTGAAGCCTTTTCGGAAACCGGCTTGTTCGGGAGTACTTTCATACGAAGCTTAAAATTGTTCCTGCGCAAATTGAGTGCTTGCTAAACACGGCCCTTGAATATATTAAGTTCTGATACTGTAGAGCCTTCGGCTCTTACTCAGTCATTTTTTGAATACCGCGTCTTTATTTTCATTACCCGCAGCCGAAGTCGTATCTGACTCTATCAGTCTGTTACACGGGCATTCTTCACTGGATAAATTAGTCCAGTCGTTTTAGGATCGGTGGAGGACGGAACACCTTCACGGATTACTAGTTCGTCAGAAGTGGAACACCCCGTCTAAGACTATCGCACCAGGCACGGTTGTAAATGTGATTAATGATAATTCGCCGCCCCTTGCTTGGCCATTAGCGATTGTCGAGTCTGTTCATCCTTCGATGGATGGCGTAGTTCGAGTAGTGACCGTGAGAAATACCTCCGTCTTGTTGTTCGTATCTGCCCTCTCCCAAAACAATAAATTACTATTATTTTAATTATAATTAATTGTCTCAATTAGTAATTAAGATTATTATATATTATATTTAAAAGTGTTAAGCCGCAATATTATATTTATTTACACATTTTCTCGCCTACCAATAAGCTTAGTAAATCAAATATGCGAATTGAGCACATTCTCTCATTCCTCTATTTGTTTTTCCTTTTCTCTTTATGTTACGGTTCTCTTTTAAAGGTGGTCCTTTAAGGGCAGAAGGAAATGGTAACGCCAATTAACAATCTAATATATTAATGTAATGAAATTATTAGCTCATATCTTTGACTACACCTATCCCTTTCCTTTTCTTATCGCACGCGGTGTCTTCGAGGTGAAGAAAAATAGTCTCGTGGCACGCCAGTAAGTGACATTTCTTCGTCCTCCGCGATCGCACGGCCAGCCGTCGTAGATATATTAACCGCTTAACCGCGTAGGACGGACATTGAGTTCTCCTGTTTATGTTTAATACTCACCGCATCAGACATTGTGTCTTTGTAACTTATATAAGTATGAGACGCCCCCGTGAGTGCAAAGGTCAAGAGTGTGGGACGAAACTGTTCGGAGAGTGCCCGTGCGCCGAATCACGTGGCGGGCCAGCCTGATTCTATGTTCTAATTATTATTCGAAAGATGATTATATATACAAGATTGAACCTTTAATTTTTCCTTAGAGTATATAACCAGTTTTTACTAGAGTTAAATCTACTTGCTATACATATCGCTGCTTAAATGTAAAACTACCTTATGCCAAAAAGTATTATTTTTACAGGACAGCTAATTGAAAATTTTCATATTTTAATTAGTTAATTTCTCAACCAAATCACAACCGATTGATACGGGTAATACATTGTTACATGCGTTTTTGCAACCTTATTGACTTCAAATTAGTATTTTTTCACCAACGTGTAAAAGCAAGCTTACAGAAACAGATAAGTTACTTTTGCATAAAAATTATAGGTGTAATAATAATAATAATAATAAACTATTGCAAATGAACTAGAGCAAATGTATAATAATATGCTAATAAACTAGAGCAAATGAGGAGTACATTGGAACTAGAGCAAATGAGGAGTACATTGGAGGAGGCGATTGTGGAAACGCGCAGTACGCCTGTCGAAAATCGACCACGACTTCCCCGCTTAGCCCTAAGCAAGCGGAATCGGGCTGTCGTGAGGGCTCTGAACCCAATGCTGGTTACCTACTTGGAAGCCAGCCGGGACCTTTGCGAGACGGACTCAATTCTTTTTGGCGCCGCACTGGCAATCTGCCATATTATAGGCGCCAAACTTTCCACGGCTGGACGCGCTACTGGACAAAGTAGTGCTATCCCAGCCTGGAGAATAAGAATTGAAGAACGTATCGCAAGGTCTAGGGCCCTCATCGGCAAACTGATATGCTTCAGGTCAGGCAATACCAGGCCAAGGATTGTGCGCACCGTCAGGATGGCGTTTGCTGGGACAAATGTTAGTTTGTCCTAGCCGGATATAACCCAAAAACTGACGGAGCGCATAGACGACCTGAAGCAAAGAATTGCTGCTTGGGGAAAGCGGATTCGGCAATATACCGAGAGGTCGACACGGTTCAACCAGAATTGTCTCTTCCAGAGTGATCAGAAGAGGCTCTACAAATCAATGGAGCGACCAATAGTAAGTGGAACGGGCCCAGCACCAAATCAGGCCGACACGGTCGCATACTGGCGCAGCCTGTGGTCAAAGCCCGTAAACCACAACGAGGGCCCTTGGACGGAAGTTGTGGTGAGTCAGTGTGCGGGTATTACGCCCATGGACCCCGTCATCATAACGCCGGATGACGTAGCTTAGGCGGTTCGTAGGGCCCCGAACTGGAAAAGTCCGGGGCTTGACGGGCTGCATCACTACTGGCTGAAGGGGTTCATGGTGTGTCACACTGTGCTCGCCCGACAGTTTCAAGAGGCTCTCAACCAGAAGTCGTTCCCAAGCCTCTTCACTACTGGGATCACTCATTTGGTTCCTAAAGATCAGGGTGCCACAGACCCGAGCAAATACCGCCCCATCACGTATCTACCGACTATGTACAAGACACTAACATCCATTTTGAGCGCGAAAATCGCTCGTCACCTGGACTCAAATCAGGTGATGTCGCGCGCTCAAAATAAAGTCGGGGCAGCGGTCGTGGAACCAAGGAACCACTCCTCATTGACGCGGTCATTGGCAAAGTGGTGAAACGCAACCGTCGGAACTTCTCCTACTACTACGGTACTACAGGGCTCTACATGAGCCTCACGTAGATACAGCCGCCTCCCTCAACTGGCTACGTTTTGGTGACCTCTTCGGGGGAAACCGAGGGTTTTGTCTGTGCAATACAGGATCAGGTTATTAAGACCAACAACTATCGGAGATACATCCTAAAGGATGGCACTGTCGACGTCTGTCGAGCTTGTCGCCATCCCGAGGAGTCACTTATGCATGTCATCTCCGGTTGTTCGGCGCTTTCTAACTCTGAGTACTTGCACAGGCACAACCTAGTAGCCAGAATTCTACACCAGGAGCTCGCTCTGAAATACGGTCTCGTGGACCGAAAATTGCCGTACTACAAGTACTTGCCGGAAGCCGTGCTCGAAAATGACCGCGCCAGGCTCTACTGGGACCGGGCCATCATCACAGACAGGACTATTCTTGCGAATAAGCCTGATATTGCGCTGATGGACCGGGCACAGTCAAGGATATTTTTGATCGACATTACCATTCCGTATGACGAGAACCTCGTGAAAGCCGAAATAGATAAACAAACAAAATATCTGGACCTGGCTCACGAGGTGACCGACATGTGGGGTGGTATGCCGACCGAAATTATTCCTGTAGTCGTCTCTGCGAATGGGCTAATCCCAGTCAGCCTCTCTGGTCATCTGAGGCGACTGGCACTCCGTGACGGACCGCTCCGGGCTCAAATGCAGAAGGCGGTGCTCCTCGATACCGCCCGCATCGTCCGCCGGTTTCTTTCCCTTTCCTCCTAACCCTCGGCCGTTTGGTGTCCCCTGCCGAGGGCTCCCATCTGGTTGGATCTTATTTATTTATGTAGTTTTTGTGTTTATTTTATTTTATTGATATTTATGTACATTTATCTTTTCATTTTAATTTATAATTATATATTTATAGAACCCAACCAGGTGAGAAAATTATATAGATACCCCAAAATAATAATTTACGCGCTCACCATGCATAATCGCGAAGTGTACAGCCTCCGTCATTACTTCCTGGTGAGATCGGATGTTCCATTCTATAATGACGTTATTTCTAGTGATAAAGGACTTACCTCTCTATCCTTAGCCAACGAGCAATGGCAAGACCCGGCAGTACAGAGCATTTCAGATCGGGAGACCGTCTGGAAGGAGAAGGAGCTCCACGGGAGGTACTACAGGGCTCTACATAAGCCTCAGGTAGATACAGCCGCCTCCCTCAACTGGCTACGTTTCGGTGACCTTTTCGGGGGAAACCGAGGGTTTTGTCTGTGCAATACAGGATCAGGTGATTAAGACCAACAACTATCGGAGATACATCCTAAAGGATGGCACTGTCGACGTCTGTCGAGCTTGTCGCCATCCCGCGTAGTCACTTAGGCATGTCATCTCCGGTTGTTCGGCGCTTTCTAACTCTGAGTACTTGCACAGGCACAACCTAGTAGCCAGAATTCTACACCAGGAGCTCGCTCTGAAATACGGTCTTGTGGACCGAAAATTGCCGTATTACAAGTACTTGCCGGAAGCAAACCCCAGGCTCTCTGGGAGGAACAACGTTAGCACGTAGCAGGTTGGATCTTATTTATTTATGTAGTTTTTGTATTTATTTTATTTTATTGATATTTATGTACATTTATCTTTTCATTTTAATTTATAATTATATATTTATAGAACCCAACCAGGTGAGAAAATTATATAGATACCCCAAAATAATAATTTTATTTCAGATAACCAAGTGATCCATAAATTTTTTTAGTAAATATGGAACTATTAACCTATGTTAGTACCTAAATCTAATTCTTAAATACAAGCGCCTTATTAACTAAACATAGGCGGTAATATTGCTTAAGGAAGAATGAGTCGTATCTTTCAGCAATTACTTTCATGATGGAGTTGGAGCTATCCCGCATCCTGCCAAGCAACGAGGCTGTTTTCTTTCTTATAAGGGCGTAATAGTCATCTGTACGCGACTTTGCAAACATGACTGATGCACTGCAAAATCGGGGTAGCCCCAACAAGATCCTGAAGCCATTATTATACTGGACAAGTAAGGTGTCGACAGTCCGCTGTGAATAATTCAACCACAGGCCGCACGTGTAGAAAACTTGAAAGTACGCTTTAAATAGTGTTATCTTTACTTTTTCACTACACCGCGCAAACCTACGTGCCAACATATTACATCGGACTGCCAGCGCCCTACGTTCCCTTTCTATGTCAACATTGTCACTTAGGTCATCGGTAACAAAATGCCCTAGGTACTTAAATTTATCAACGCGTTTTAATTCAATGTCATTCAATTTAATTGCAGGCACATTTTCTGGGCTTTTACAGCCAACGGCCCTACACAATAAATTCGCTTTTATTACCATTGTATCGCAAGCCATCGTTTAACACATACTTCTCACATATTTTAAGGTGTTCTCTGGTGGCCTTAACCGTGGGACTCAACAACACCATATCATCTGCGTAACTTATGTTGTTAAAACTTACATCGTCGATACGACATCCGACTTTTTTGCTGCTGAGTTCAGCGATTAGGTTGTTATGTAGGTCATTTATGTACAGTTTGAAAAGCTTTGGTGACGTAATTCCTCCCTGTCTGACCCCACATTGCAATCTGTACCTTTCAGAGAACTTGTCGGCCCATCTCACATTATTATACTGATTATTGTACCAGTACTGAAAAATCTTCAAAAGCTCAGCTGGAATCTTTTTCTGGCGTAGCTTATCCCATAATATGTCATAATTTACAAGATCAAAAGCTCTGGAGAGATCTAAAAACATGCATATACAGGTGTACGTCGCTTTGTGCAATATTCAACAGTGTGCTTTAGGGCTAAGATAGCATTCTCAGTAGACAATTCAGACCGAAACCCAAACTGTGCATCGTGCAACTCAATATAACTTTCCAGCTTTGTATCCAACAGGCTGTCAAGTATTTTAGCCATAATTGTTGCCAAAGATATGGGACGATAATTACACTTATCTCCTACGTCACTTGTTTTGTTTTTAACTATAGGCACCACTATTGTCCGCATAAGGTCGTGAGGCAGATACGAATGACAAAGACATGAAGAGAAGAACGTAGCGAGTAATCGAGGCAGGTGAGGTCCGGCATGCTGCAGGTGCTCGATGCTAAAAGAATCATGGCCGGGAGATTTCCCCCTAGTCATATTTTTAATGGCAGTTGACACTTGTTCAGGTGTAAAACGAATGAAGTCATGACTGCCATGATAGCTCTCATCTCCGGGCATCGGCTGCGATGTAACTAGCAACGACTCTATTTTAATATGCTCTGCAAACATATTAGCTATGCTAATAGGTTCGTTTACACCTCCAACGCACACAGGCAGGCAGGCAATGACTATGAAATATATGAAATGAAAGCACAAATCGCAAAGAAACTAGGGTTTAACATATTTATTTTCTTCAATAAGATACATGTGTCGTTAAGCTTTCTTGAACTAAAAATATAGTATCATTACGAAATATTCATTTTTTTAAGTACGTAATTTCACTTTAAAACAAGCTGCGTTTAACATAGGTACAAATTCTTATTCCAAAATTAAAAATATAAATCTAAAAGCGTTTAACATTAGCAGTTAAAAATAATTATTATAGTCACAACTGTCTACTGAAGAATAATCATTATGAATATCAATAAAAATTATTGGTCTTCATGGTTGATAATTTAGATAAATAAATTAATATTAATATATTTATTAAAGTAATATCAGTTAAATAAATTGTAATGAAAGTCTTGACAATTTGTTATTTTAACTTTTTAACTTCAAAAATACTATGAAAGCTTTTGTAGCGGCGCTGTCGTCGCGCCACAAGCGAAATACACCGAAGCTTAAATCACGCTATCAACATTCCGAATCATAGACAGTATATATAGAACTTCTCCGAACTATCACTCGGAGTGTCGGCCGCTCCCCGGGCAGAACACCTTGCCCGGCGGGAGATCTCCCCTTTTCCTTCCACGGCTACAGTGGTGACCATCCGACGTGATCTGAACACGCAACCAAACAACCTTCGCAAACTTCAAGCTTCATCAACGTCATAGAATACCCCACCCATTCGCTCCCGAACAGATATCGTCTGCAGTCTTCATATCCTGCAAGCCATCTAGCTTACTTGCCTTCTTCTCGACTCACCGCAGACTGCAAGGCAATCTCCTGGCACTTGCACATTCGTCGGCAACGAGGCTGCACTATCGACCTCCGGACTGAGCAGGGGGGTGATGTAGCGGCGCTGTCGTCGCGCCACAAGCGAAATACATCGAAGATTAAATCATACTATCAACATTCCGAATCATAGACAGTAATTATAGAACTTCTCCGAACTATCACTCGGAGTGTCGGCCGCTCCCCGGGCAGAACACCTTGCCCGGCGGGAGATCTCCCCTTTTCCTTCCTCACCGGCCACACTTTCATGCGACAACAAATTTAAAAAAATGACTGCTATAAAAAATAATTAATATAAAAGCTTTCATATATTTAGAAATCACTTTTTTTATGACACTGCTCTTTTGTCTCCAAAACTTACAGTTTTTGAGGTTATAATTTTTTTAAAAATGGCTCTGTTGCAGTTTTAATTTTC